CGATTTTTTGTGAGGGTGCGGTTGTGCCTCACAATGGGGGTAAAACCGTTTTTTTCACTAATTGTACTTTTTGTATTGTAACATTTTCAAAAACCGTTTAATTTTTTTCTTAATTGCATCAGTTTAAAGCTTAATGATGTTGTTATTGAAATAAACTGTTAAAAAAACACATTTCGTTTTTATCTTCATATAACATTATTCCAAACGTTACGGGGGCGGTTGTATATATATATATATATATATATATATATATATATATATATATATATATATATATATATATATATATATATATATATATATATATATATATATGTTTTTTTTTATTTTCTCTTTATTACAATCTTTATACAAATATAAGTAAAATAAAACGTTATCTTACATTAATTTAAATTAATTACAAATAAATATCGTTAAAAAATAAAGATAGCATAATAAAGAAACGGAAAACTCGTAGAAGACCGTGATGTCTCGTAGAAATCACTCAAGCTGACTGAAATGATTGTCACCGTGATGTCACCTAGAAATCACAAAAGTTGACTGAAATGATTTTGCTGATTTGATATAAAGTTTTAATGTTTTCTTTCTGTTTTTTTTTGTTTTGTTTTTTATATATCAACCGATATATAAAAAACTAACCGACTATTATCAGTAATCCTTCGTTTGAGCTGATGAATTTTCTTGGTTTAGAAGGTTCACGAAATTTACGTTAATTGTAGCAATCAATCAAATAACTTTCCTAAACAGATTTCCGCATAAAATATATAACCATTATATGCGGAAATATAAAATAAATTATGTGGAAATATTAATTTAAAAATGCGAAAGTACAATTTTAATACATAAATTTAAAAAAAATACAGTTGTTGTATAGTTGCAAACAAAATTCTAGCCAATATACCAGATTCTGAACTTATTAATAGAAAAGGAAGAAAGTGTTCTGACAAATCTGCTATAAGCAACGCAATCAGCTCTGCAATCAACAGAGATAACTCACTAACACGAGCTGGAATCTGTGATCTTTTGTCTGAATCGTGTTTTATGTGTCTCAGACGTTTGTTTCTAGGCAACTTAAAGTTATAAAAATAACATTATATAAACTTAAAGTTATAAAAATAAAGTATTTTTCACTGGTTCCACAAGAAAAGAACAGTATTAGGGCTCTTAATTTAAGGTGGTACCCCAAGAAGTACAATAAAGACAGAAATTAAAGAAATGCATTAGATAAAAATTAAATAAATACATTAAAGACATACAAAAAAGACAGAGTTATGCAAAAGAAACTCAACATATATCGACTCCAAAGTTAGTTTTTTTGGATGAAACGGGGTTCAATCTTCACACCTCATCTAATTATGGATATGCTCTAATAAACACGAATTTACATATAACGGTTCTAGTTAACAAAGGACAAAGTATAAGCTTAATGGCAGTCATTTCAAGTACTTTTATAATTACAAGCTCTTTTCTGACAAATCTAGGCATGTTACCTTTAGATTTGGAGCTTTACCTCTGAACAACCACCACACATCAGTGTGAAATAACAAAACATTATTAGGTGCATCCAAATCACAGTAAAATTTTGAAAACAGGCAACTATTTAAAGCACTACCTTTTACAAAATTCAAAGCACTTACAGCGTTTTTAATTAGCCAAATTTATTCTTAAAATCAAGAAAAAGTTTTTCCTTGATTTGAAGATTTAAAGGCATAAAAATTGAGATATCATCACAAAGTTGTATTTTTTAAAATAATCTAAAATAATATATATATATATATATATATATATATATATATATATATATATATATATATATATATATATATATATATATATATATATATATATATATATATATATATATATATATATATATATATATAAAATAATTTATATCATATTGACAATAAAAACAATAATATATATATATATATATATATATATATATATATATATATATATATATATATATATATATATAAAATAATTTATATCATATTGACAATAAAAACAATAATATATATATATATATATATATATATATATATATATATATATATATATATTTGTGTGTGTATGTGTGTGTGTGTTCTTGTTTATCGATCGAATTACACTGTTTTCTACACTAATGTTTACAACCGTCAATTTACGTTTTAAATATTATTTGTTGAAATTTTATACCTTTATGCAGCTTTTGTCAACTTTTTCTATTTTGATGAAGAAAAACACTAATTTTTGTATGGACAAAAAAATGAATTTATATCTTTTGTAATTTTAAAAGAAAATTATGACGAAAAAAAATGTTTTTAGACAGTTATTTTTGCAAACATTTCAAAGCTTCAAATGAAGCATTTCATAAGTTATAGACAAATAATTATAAACTAGTTGTAAAAAGTAATCCTAATTTTCACTAAGTGTTAAGAAGGTTTTAAATAAATAATCTAGCCATTTCTAGTGTGACCGTTGTCCCGTTGTTGCGTTAACGAACACAGCACAAAGGGTAACTACATTTAAAATTTTTATTGAGTTCTCCTACGTAGTAACCGAGACATTTAATCTAACCATTGCTCATTTGACGAATTAATGTGTTGAAAAAAATTTTAAAAAATTAAATGCAAAAAAAAAACCTAACTTAATTTACTTTGTCAATCCATGCCGAAGAATGTTATACAGTGATAAACTTTCGGTATTTCTGTAGTTTTAAAAACAAATTCGAACATGTACAAATAAAAAAACAAAGAACAAATGTTCTTTGCATATTATGTCAGATACACGTGTTTTATTCGTAGTTTTATCTCCTACTTTAATAATGTAGGGTAATTTTTTGTCACTATTTTATGTTGAAAATGCTTAGAAACATCAAATTTCTAATTTCTACTGTTCAACACAAAATACGATGAAACCAAAATTAATAATTTAAAAGCTTCACAAATTTAAAACTGTAATGAGTGTGGTTTAGTGGTGACCAAGGTAAAATTTCAATTTTAACTTACAGAAAACAATGAAAAAGTTAATTATACCGCACGCAACTGCGTCAATGCATCAGGCTTCTACTTACCTCCTTTCGTCGTTTATAAATCAAAAAATTACTTACATAAATCATGGTAGATAAATGGTCTAACTGGCACAGTGTATACAAAATCAGATTCAGGATGGATAGAGAAATTAAGATCAGTTTCAGAATGGATAGAGAAATTAAGATCAGATTTAAGATGGATGGAGAAATCAAGATCAGATTCAGGATAGATGTAGCCTCCATCTATCCTGAATCTGATCTTTATTTCTCCATCATGGAGAAATCAAGATCAGATTGAGGATGAATGGAGAAATCAAGATCAGATTCAGGATGAATGGGGAAAAATCAAAAAAGATTAAGATTAAAAAAAACGTGATAAGAATCGAACCTTTCTGCTTTGAAACGTGATAAGACGTGAAAAGACGTGAAAAAACGTGATAAGAATCGAACCTTTCTGCTTTGAAACGCTGCGTGCATACCATCCAGACATATTGTCTATCGAAAATTTTAAAACTACATATTTAGTAAAAGTCTCTATAAAACAAAAATAAATATAGATCAAAGATCTTAATGAAATGTTGCTTTAGATCAAAGATCTTAATGAAATGTTGCCGCAATGCAATTTTCAAGTGAAAGTAAAACTGTAAAACTTGATATATGTTTTAATATGTTTTAACATTACATAATTTGAAGTTTACGTTAGTTAGATATTTACACACGCTTTCGTTGACTTTTCTTATAAAAAAAAGGTGCTGAAACTCTTTCTCGCTATTACCTCGGTTGCAATGGCTGCTAAGAGTAAGATGTAAAATACTTTGATTCATTCAACAGATGTCAAGAGCCATTTAATTATTTTAGACATTTTTGTTGTCAAATGACCACGTGCCCATCAGTCAAAAAAGTGCATTCTGATGGCACTAAAATGTAGTCGCAGCACATGGACTTTCGCATTAAAGTTTAATTTTATTTTCCATCTTCTATGTTTTAAAAACGTTTTGTCGGAGAGAAGAGTTAGAGGAATTATAATTTAAGTCAAAAAAAAAAAATTGTAATTAAGCTGAGGAATAATAAATAGGTATCTGAATTAGAAACTCAAATAAATTTACGAAGGTTGTGTTAAATATTTTTAACTGTAAAATTTTTAACAAGATTTTTTTTCGCATACCAAGTTTCCTTTCATCAAGTAAATATTGTTCAATTTTAATGTATCAAATGACGGTTAACCGTCATTTAATAATGCTGCGTACTGATTAACTTCCTATAATCCAACCAATACCAACAGCAAAATGTAGCCACCGTTGAAGTTTCGTATTTGGTGGCTCTCAGAATCGCCAGAGCCAAAAAAACTTCACACCGTTGCCAGCAACCAAAAGTATTTTCAAGTTATGCTCGGAGTTAAAAATGTCAATACAATTTCCTTGTCTAATAACACCGTCAGTAGAAGAATTGATGACATATCTGCTGATATTCTTGAACAGGAAATTCAACAAATGATATCTGCTTCCCTTGAAATATTTAGCATCTAAATTATTGAATCAACAGATGTGGCAGGTTTACGTGAGGTATATTAATGATGGTGAATTCAAAGATGAGTTTCTTTATTGCAAATCACTTGAAATTACAACTGCTATCGAAAAACACAATGTATTTGATACAGTTGGATCTTTTTATCAAATAAATGAAATTCCTTAAGAAAATGTTTGTGTTGTTTACACAGACGGGGCTATAGTAATGCTAGAATTTTAAGTCTGGATTTTAACGTCTGGTAATAAATGCATCACCGAATATCATCAGAACTCATTGTATGATTTATCAAATAGAGTTAGCAACAATGACATTGCCACACGAATTTGAACATTGCCGAAAGGTATGAAACCTTAAGTACTATCACAAAGTTTTTACATATTTTAATCAGGATTCATTATGCTAAATTATTATAATTATAACTCGTAATTTTATTATAACTGGTAATGTATAAAAAACATTTTAAAAAAATCCAGCATTATTTTAGCGAAAATAATTTATAAGAATATTTACGTTCTATGCCATGAAGAGAACAAATACTACAAAAAAAACAATAAGCACAAAGAAAATCTTTATGATGAGCCACCTGTTCGAAGATATCGATTGAAAATACTTCAAAAGTTCACTATGTGCCGCTTCAACATTCATTTCTGTGTCTTCCACGTTACTGTCAATCCTTTAATAAATTGAAAGAATATTTATTAATTATAATGGAAACTTAAAAAAAAGGCGGAAAATAAAACTACTTTAATATTTAAAATTGAAACAATGTTGACCTTTTAATTTGTTCTTCTTGCTCGCTGACAAGATGTGCTAACTGCTGAAATATTCCACCAAGTTCAACAATTGTAGACTCAATACTTTCCATCGCTGTTGCACGACTTTTAATGTATTCATCATTGTGATCGTATACTTGTTGGTGCTGACTAAGAAGTGGCTCCATATCAAGCGCGACCGCTTCATTATTTCCTAAAGGTCGGTTTAAAAGAGAATTTCCGCTAAGTTCAGAAATGTGCATATTATCAGTGAGAGCGCCTTGAGAAAATTGTTCACGACGGTTTTTCTGTTGTTTCATATTCTGAAACAAAAATACTCAAAAATTTTATATAACATGAAAATGCGATAAATAAAAATATAATAAAAAAACAAATATCAAATAAACAACCTACTTCAGTGCGGACCTCTAGCACATGTTTAAAATCTTTTGACATATTTGCTAATTTACTCTAAAATGATATATAAATTCTCTCACTCTATATATTCATATATATGTCTATGTGTGTATATATATACAGGGTGTCTGCCAATATTTTAAGGAGAGTTTCCCTGATTTTTTCAAGATCCACTAGTTTTCCTTGATCTAATTTAAAGTTACGGAAAATAATCTTCAGAAAAAATAGACTTAGATTCTTTTGGAAAAATCCTCTTTAATTGCAAAACATTAATACAACCCACAGTATCAAAAGAAGTACATAAAAATGTCTGCCGAATAAAAGTTTATATTACGTGTGCAATATAAAACTTACTTAAGTTACGTACATTTTTTCATAATTTTTTACTAATTTTTCCAAAATTTAACCTGATTTCATTAATAATCCCCTAATTTTTTTGCAGATATCTGAATTCCCTGACTTTTCCCTAATTTCCCTGATGTGACAGACACCCTGTATATAAATGTGTGTAAATGTGTATATGTATATGTATATATATATATGTATATGTATATATATATATATATATACACATGTGTATATATATATATAAATACATATATATATATATATTATATATATATATATATATATATATATATATATATATATATATATATATATATATATATATATATATATATATATATATATATATATATATATATATATATATATATATATATATATATATATATATATATATATATATATATATATATCGTGGCCTACTATATTCACGGCCGTATATCTTACATTTTTGAGGGGGAAATTAAGAGGCCGGTTTTGAAAGTTTTAGATGCAAAATACGCTAAAATATTATGAATTTACTAATTTTTAAAGAATTTATATTGAAAATGGTCAACAAATGTGCTGCACCAAAATGTACAACAGATCAAAACTTAAATCAACTTTGGATACGATTTGTTAATCGTTCAGATTGGACTCCGACAAAACATTCTGTTTTATGTGAACTTCATTTTGAAGATAAATATATACTTAGAGGTAATAAATGCACACAGAATTGGCTTTTAAAACCTGTTCCTTCTAAGTATTCTTGTGAACTTTTGCAAAAAAAATCATCTTTGCCAGTTTTAAAAACTTCTAGAATTCCTCCTAAATTGAGAATGTTCCAAAAAGATCAGTTAGAAATATTTAAGAAAAATGATACAATTACAAATGTACATAATTTGAATGAAGCAGTAGCACCACCAGGGTTTCAATTTAAACGATTTGGAAAAGGTGTTGTATTTTATAATATAGTATTTAATGAACAGACATATTTTCCAACTATATTAGAATCAATAACAGTTGATGTAGACCTAAATGTACGTTTGCAATACAAAGGAACACCGTTTCCATTACCAAGTTGGTTTGTTAAAGGGCATAATGCAAAACTTAATAAAATTAGTATGCTTGAAAATTTTCAAAATGAGAAACAACACATTAGAAAATCACGATACTATTTTAGATGAAATTAAAGATAGAGAGCTTTATCAGCCACAAGGCAGGCCACCATACTCAGGAGAGATGATTCGATTTGCATTACTTTTTCGATATACATCTTTACAGGCATACAAACTACTACTTAAAAAGCTCCCTTTACCACCAATATCTTTATTAAACAAAGTTCAACAAGGAGGTATCGATTCTATAAAAACTTCTATGTGAAAAAGGAAAAATTTCTCCTGATTGTATTATGATTATAGATGAAATGTATTTACAAAAAGCAGCAAAATATCAAGGAGGAGAGTATGTTGGTTCTGACAAAGAAGGTAACTTGTACAAAGGAATTGTCACATTCAAGATAATAGGACTAAAAGAATCTATTCCTTTTATTGTTCAAGCAATTCCAGAAGTCACATTCTCTGGAAATTAGAATCACAAAAAATAGCTGACAATCTTAAAAATCTATTAGGTGCTGGGTTCACTGTGCGTGGTATAGTTACAGTCAATCATTCCACTAACATTAATGCATTCTCATCATTAGTTACAATGTTCAAGTCTGAATCAAAGTATTTTATTATTCACCCACAGAATCATGGAAAGAAGACATATTTGTTTTATGATAGTGTGCATTTAGTCAAAAATCTTAGAAATAATTTATTAAATGGTAAAAAATTTGTTTTTCCAGACTTTAAATACCATAATACATATATCAATATTGATTGTCCATCAGGATATATTAGTTGGGATGATTTATTTAAGATTTACCATAATGATAATGATCTGAAAGGTAAACTTAGAAAAGCTCTAAAGCTTACATATGAGGCATTACATCCTGGAAATAATAAACAAAGTGTGCCACCTGCGTTAGCAATTATACCTGAAACTACAATTATAGCTTCAAAAAGTTATTGTCCAAATCGAAAAGAAGTTTCAAGTTTTTTAACTATTTTTAACACTTGGTGGACTATTGCTAATTCTAAACAAAGGTTTTCATCAAATATTACTGGCAATGCTATTGTATTAGGAGACAACAAAATGATTTTTTACCAAGCTCTAGCTGATTGGATCAATCAGTGGTCTCTTTCACCTGCATTCACCTTCACAACTCAAACTGCATCAGCATTTGTAAATACCTTACGCACTCAAGCACTGCTTGTTAAGGAGCTCCTGAATGATGGATATGATTACATAATGACAGCTTGTTTACAAAGTGATCCAATTGAGAGACATTTCTCACAATACAGGCAAATGAGTAGGGGAAGATTTCTTGTTAGTTTAAGAGAAGTTTTAAGTTCAGAAAAATTTTTGCCATGTTGTTCTTTAATTAAGGAGCATATAAACTTCTGGGAAGAAAATCTAATACCAGATATTCATCTTTCCTTGACAATACTTGATGAACTGTTTGAAAATCGAACAGAAGAAATTATGGAAAGTTTCCTTGATTATAATAGTCAAGAAGTGGAAATAACTATAGCAGGCTATGTTGCAAAAAAATTGTCAAAAAGGTCTAAATATGAAAATTGCAAATCATGTTTGAAAGGTGGAGACATTAATCTTGAAAATAATTCTTATCTAACTCTCTTGTCACGTGGTGGACTATTTGTTCCATCCAAACAGCTTCAGAATTTTTTTGCAGTGTATTTGCTATTTTGGATTTAATTGAGAATGAAATTTCATCTTTATCAATTCCAGTCATTAAATCATCAACATATCTGTTACATAAATACGCACCAAAAAGCAAATTTGTTTGTGAAAATCATGAAAATTAGGGAATCACGTTTTCAACAAAAATTCTTGCTAATGTATTTTTTAATAGCAAACAAAAACTATCAAAGGATTCGGTTTCCAATAATAACTTAAAAACATTTAAAAAGAGGCAAAGAAAAAAGTGGAATCAAAATTGCCAATATGCTAGTTGCATAACATTTGTTTTTATAATTTAATAAAATTTACCTATTGCTTGATTTCATTGAACTACTTCTTGACATTTTTTTTTAAAGCGTTAAAATATACATAAATATATATTATATATAAATATAATATACATAAATATAAATGTATACTGATTTGAATAATGTCTGTGACAATTCTCCAACAAATATGACACAAATGTCTTTATATCTTTGATATCTATTTTATCTTTAAGAGTATATATAATAAAAACAACTGCCACTTTTACATTGAAGAACTTTAAGTTAAAAATTAAGTATAAAGTTGCTTTTTAAAAATATAATATTCTGCGCAGCCATTTTTTCAGTAAAAATCGGCCTCTTAATTTCCTCCTCAAAAATGTAAGATATACGGCCATAATATAGTAGGCCATATATATATATATATATATATATATATATATATATATATATATATATATATATATATATATATATATATATATATATATATATATATATATATATATATATATATATATATATATATGTATATACATATATATATATATATATATATATATATATATATATATATATATATATATATATATATATATATATATATATATATATATATATATCAAAAGTTTGGGTTCACTTATTTTTTAACTCTATGTAAAAAATTTTCAAGAATTGAAGCTCCTTCCTTTCAAAATTAGCGTCACATTAATTTAAGCATTTATAATGACACTTTGATTATGAAGAGACTCATACACCTATTTGTGAACACAAAGTATGTTTATCATTACAATAAAGAAAACTTTGGGCATACTTTTTCTTGTTATAATTGAAGATAATTTGATTACTCTTTTTTTTCTGAATACATGAAATTGGGCTGAACACATGAAATTAAGGACATTTTGGATAAAAAATAATACCACAGCATTGTCAAAATAAGCATTTCCATGTGGAAAAAGATTTTTTAATTTTATCTTGTTTTTGTTGAATGAGTATTTTATTGTAAACAATATGAGTATTTAAAACGGATGGGAAAAATCTATTTTAATTAAAAAAATATATATACAGCATGATCTTCAAAATAATTTTCTATTTTTCTAAAAGATTAAGATTATTTTATTGTAAAAAAACAATAAAAAAACAAATAAATAAATAAAACAATGAGCAAAATCTTTGTTTTCGCATATTATAAACTTATTAAGTGAACCCAAACTTTCAACCAGTTTTATTTATATATATGTATATATATATATATATATATATATATATATATATATATATATATATATATATATATATATATATATATATATATATATATATATATATATAATATATATATATATATATATATATATATATATATATATAAATATATATATATATATATATTTATATATATATATAAATAACCTAAAACTTAACAAAAAATGATAGAATTAATAGGATCATTACTTGAAGTGACATGACCACAGTGTGTGAGTGTGTTTTTACATTTTTACTAGATGACGAATCCTTGTTTTGCGCTATCTAAAACAATGAAAAATAATTATTTAAAATACTTTTACATATATACAGAATTAATAACTTAAAAAAAAAATTACCTGTTGAAGGCTAGCAATTTGTTGGTTGAGGTGATTAATATCCTAAAATATCAACTAATAATAATTAAAATATTTATGCTTATAAACTTCAAAAAAAATAACAAAGTTATTTATCAAAGATAATTTTCTGCGATTCATATAACAATCAACTCAGTAACACATAAGATATTTTAAAACTAATTAAAGAAAAATTATAATTTTAAATTCAAGTTAGGGATTTAGTAGTAGCGCAAGTTTAAAGTTGCTCATTTTCAATTTTATTGAATATGAGCAACTTTATCTTTTTACTAACTAAGGGTTTTTCATTGGCTGCCATTTGTTTTTTAAGCCTCTTTTAAATTTTGTAGCATCATTTTTTCCTTTCTCATATTAAATATGCCATTATTAATTATTCTATAATTATTATTTTTGCATCCTTTTTATTACTAATATTATTAATATTTTGTCTAGAGTATTTTAATCAGACTTCAGGATTTATAATTATTCTATAATTTTTTTTTACTTTGCAATTTTTTATCTATATCATAAAGTTGATTGAACCTGTAGGACAACTAACTAACTCTGGCTGATCTAAATTTCTTTTTTAAAAATTGATTAATGATAGAAAAATGTAGAGAAACTGTTGATCAGTTTTTATATTATCTTCAAACCTTAAGAAATTCATTACCAAACTACAAGAGGTAACCAGAGGTTCGAAAGTAACTCTGTTGATGTAACTAGAGGTTCGGACTAAGAAGTAACTCTGTTGATATAACTAGAGGTTCGGACTAAGAAGTAACTCTGTTGATGTAACTAGAGGTACCGACTAAGAAGTAACTCTGTTGATGTAATTAGAGGTATGAACTAAGAAGTAACTCTGTTGACATAACAAGAGATTTGGACTAAGAAGTAACTCTGTTGATATAACTAGAGGTTCGGACAAAGAAATAACTCTGTTGATGTAACTAAAGGTACGTACTAAGAAGTAACTCTGTTGATATAACTAAAGGTTCGGACTAAGAAGTAACTCTGTTAATGTAACTAGAGGTTCGGACTAAGAAATAATTCTGTTGATGTAACTAAAGTTATGGACTAAGAAGTAACTCTATTGATGTAATTAAATGTACAGACTAAGAAGTAACTCTGTCAATGTAACTAGAGGTTTGGACTAAGAAGTAACTCTGTTGATTAGGAGTTATTGTCTTTATGCGTCTTTTTTCAATAGCAGTGACAAATTGCTTAATGTGACCTAACTTGATGAGCAATGGTAGAATAAGCACTTTCTGAGGTTCTCCTCTCCTCAACTGCACTTGCTAAACTCTTATTTGTAAATATTTTCCTTGTTGTAGAATATGCTGTTTTCTCCTAAAGATGGTTGATCTCCTTATAAGAGAGTAAGAAGATAACTATAATCATATAACTATACAAATTTGAAGACACATTGCTTTATACAGAGTATAATACCACATAATTTTCATATATATATATATATATATATATATATATATATATATATATATATATATATATATATATATATATATATATATATATACACCAATAAATGAACTAAACTGAACTACATATCTCTTCATATATGCACCAATATGTAGTCATATTTATGTAAGCATTCTAGGCCTTACATATTTTACAAATTACTTCCACATTGTACTTTTTTGGATCTTGTTTTTACAACTGTCCACACACATTCCGAAATGTGTCTGTTTGATATAAACAACTTTTTAATATCATTTAAATTAAATAACTGTTCTTCAAAAACAATTTGTTGTTCCTTTATTCACCAATAATATGAACTAAAATTTTAGCTCAATTTATTTGTTGAATGATGACTTTTGGGTATTTGAAGAACATTCTAGAAAATTTTGGAAGTTTCTTGAAAGTTCTAGAACATTCTAAAAAACTCTGTGACCTTCTGGACAATTTGAGTAGTTCAGGAATATTCTAAAAGAATGTTTGTTATTCAATATGAATCAAGAACTTTTTTGAAAACACTCATATTTTAAAGCATTGTGGTTTCAGTCACAGAAACAAAGTTTTTGTAGAACAACAGCTATTTTCTGTCTTTTCAACAAAACACGTTAGGAAAATAAACATTCAACCCAAACACAAAACAAAAATAAAAGTTATGTAGTGTTATAAAGGAAATCCAAATTTTAAATTTTCTTATAGCTGTTTAAAGATTAAAGAATTTATAAGATGTGGAAACGCTGGTTGTCCTTTAACCCTGTTTGTCCTTTAATCCTGGTTGTCCTTTAACCCTGGTTGTCCATTAACCCTGGTTGTCCTTTAACCCTGGTTGTCCTTTAACCCTGGTTGTCCTTTAACCTACATGAATAATCTTTAAAACCCTGGCCCAGTTGTCCTTTAACTTACATTAAAACGCATTCAAAGTCATACAAAAATAACTTTTTCTTGTCTCTTGAGACGAAGAATGTAAATAATAGTATCATAATTATATCATGATTTCAGAAAAACTAATTTAATAACAAGAATGTTTAAGTATTCCTTTGAAAAATTCTTCAAAAACACGTAAAGAGATATCCAAGATTACAGAAGTTATGAAACTAGTAACTAACTAGTTTTTGATAAATCTTTATTGTGCTTGCACATAGGTCCTTTACAACAGTCACAAATTGGTTTGAAAAATACAGCACTTTAAAAAAAAAATGTACACATGTTTTAAGATAAAATCATGTATATATGTATGTTTTGCAGTGTTTGAAATTATTATTATTAACCAACTAAACTGTAATATTAAAAAGTAATATATGAAATATATTAATAATACTAAAATTATTGTTTTAGTTAAAGCTCGCCTTCTCCATTTTTTTTTGTTTCAATGAGTCTTTAAAATATATGCGGCAATCTGCAGACAGGATAGTTTATTTAGTATATTAAGTTTGTTTGATTAATAATAATTTCCATATATGGCGTTTTTGTGGATTTCTTTTTAAGATATTAAAATATTTTTTGTCCAAAAATCAGAAAACTATATTTATTTTTTTAATTTTTTACTAAATTCTAAAAAATATTCATAATACAACTAAAAGTAAAAACGTAATATTTGGTTTGTCAATGGTTAGGATTATGTTAAAATTATTATACCTTTTATAAAAGATATTTTATAAAAGATAAAAAAAATAATTTATAAAAATACATAGATTTATATAATTGCTTTTTTTAAAATAAGAGTTATTTGTTGATTCTATGAAATATGTTTAAAGACATTTTTCCATATAGATAGCATATTAGTGTAGTGGATGTACTATCACTTTAACATGTGATATGTGGCTGTTTAAGTAACGGATTCCAATCCTCCATTGGAAACTATTTTATTTAATTTTAAATGTTACATTACATTATATTGTTGTTATTTATAGTTTATTTAGGTAGTTGTGGTCAAGTGTACATATACTGACTGACTTAAATAGGGATAGGCACAAATAAAAATTAAAAGTAAGTAAAACAAAAAACTTTTTATCAAAGTAGGAGTTGTACATTACCCTTACACAATAACGTTATTTCTATTTTCATCCATAATCATTGCAATTTTGTCATTGAAAACTTCAAGAAGATTAATATATATATATATATATATATATATATATATATATATATATATATATATATATATATATATATATATATATATATATATATATATATATATACAGTGAATCCAAAAATTATTGGCCCACCCTTGCATAACTACTTTATTTTTGCTGGCATATAAGAACTATAGGAGAGAATTACTAAGTGTTAGTATCATTGTGTCGTTTGTTATCACTAGTATATATACAACAAGTTTCAGCTTTTCAATTACTTTCGTTCTTGTTTTATTGAGAAAACAGTATAAGTTTGTTCAAATATTATGTACAAAAATTATTGGCCCAGAGAAAAGAAAAAAATTTTTGTCCATCACGAAACAGGTATTTCATCGAATCTAGTATCGTGTTGGGTAACCTTTCATCTTGATGCATTCTTGTAATCTACTTGGTACTGAATCAACAAGTGTCTGGAGAGCAGACAACACGACGTTATTCCATTTGTTCTTCAAGAGGTCTCCAAGTTCGTAGATATTTTTGGCTTGTGTTTCTTCATCCTCCGGTTAATCTCATCCCATAGATGTTCTATGGGATTGAGATCAGGCGAGGATGAAGGCCATGCTAATGTTTGAATATTGTTTTGTTTGAGCCAATCCTTGACTAGACCTGATGTATGCTTGCGATTATTATTGTGGACGAAAAAAAATTCTTGTCCAAAAATAAATTTTTGAATCAATGGTAACAAATGCTGCTCTAAGATGTCACAATAATAAAATCGGTCTATTGTATGGTCCAAAATACATAATTCACCAATTCCATTTCGCAAGAAACAACCCCAAACGGTAACAGAGCCACCACCATGTTTGACCGTAGCCACAGTACAATGTGGATCCAATTCTTCCTTGGGTGTTCTCCATACCATTACTTTTCCATCAGACCCGAACAAATTAAATTTCAATTCATCGGACCAAATGACAGTTTCCCAAAACCTTATCGGCAGATTTACGTCGATCAGACTTAACTTTGCGTACTATCAATCGATCCAATGTTTCGGTTGTTTTCATTTTTCGACCATGTCTGAATAAATTACCAATACATTTCGTCTGTTTGTATTTCTTAATTATGTATCATACTGTCTCTCGAGGAAGTAATGTCTTAGCAGCAGTTTCTCGTTGAGAATCACCATTTTGATAGTGCTGAATTACTAAAGCTCGAAGGTCATAATGTTCTTTCTTTTTAGGTGCCATTTTAGTAAATTATCATTTAGTGAAGAAATCCGCAAGTATTTATACTATGATTAGTGGTTCTAGATAAAGCGTCGACACAATTCTATAACATTCTGAAAAAAATACGAAAGTTCTAAAACTTTTTGGAAGTATTATTTTCTTTTCTTTTCTCTGGGCCAATAATTTTTGTACATAATATTTGACCAAACTTATACTGTTTTTTCAACAAAACAAGAACTAAAGTAATTGAAAAGCTGAAACTTGTTGTATATATACTAATGATAACAGACGACACAATGATACTAACACTTAGTAATTCTCTCATATAGTTCTTATATGCCAGCAAAAATAAAGTAGTTATGCAAAGGTGGGCCAATAATTTTTGGACTCACTGTATATATATAATATTCATTAAGATGTGAAAGTATGCTTACTTTTTTATATTTTATTTATTTAAAAAATTAGCCCAAACATTTCTTTAAAACATTTTCTTTGTTAAGATTGTAATGTATTTATGGAGAAAAAAGTACAACCATTAACATTAAATGTAAGAAAATGATTTCCTTACTTTTTCATCTGGTTATTTGTTTATATGGCTGACTAAATATAGCTCTGATTCAAATTACCAAAAAATTTCCAAAATACATACTGCTAAAAACTTAGTTATAAAGTCAATCAAAAAAACAGTAGGTTGGAAATACAGTAGATTAAAAATTCAGTCAATTATAATTTTAGTGTTTGAAAATTACTAGTTAATGTTTTAATTAGATGTAATTATGAAAATTAAAATCGTCATAATCTACAACTTTAGAAATTTCAAAATTAGGTATCAGGTAAATAAAATCAGTTACAAGTCACCTGTAGAATAATCAATAACAAAATTTCTCTCCAAAAAATCATGTTATGTTTTTACAAATATGGTGCATCTATGTTTTCAAAATAAACTCTAATTTAAAAAATGTAACGTAAAGCTATAAAAAAATCATAAGATAATAATTATTATAGGATACATAAAATAAATTACATAAGATAATAAAAATCGTATAAACTTAATTTATGGAAAATATAGTAAAAATTTAATTAGTTAATGGGAATGACAATTATATATACATATATATTTTTGTATATATATATATATATATATACATATATATATAATTAAAAGTTTCCATCTTCTTGTATCAAATTATTAAATGAAGAGTTTGTTTGCAATCTTTGAGAAGTAGTAAAACTAAAGATATAACTAGAAATAATACTTATCAACTTTTATAAATAAAAAGATTAAACACCTGTTTTATAATGTAAGTAAGCTCTTGAATTTCCACTGGTTTATCATTAAACAAAGACTTCTGCTTTGCAACTAAAAAATATTATTCAATATTGAGTAATAAAAGGTTATATATGTTAGAGGTTTTAAATTTTTATGATAAAAATTTAAAAAATTAAAAAGGTTATATATGTTAGGTTTTAAATTTTTGTGATAAAAAACTTACGAATTGCTAATTTTTCAAGTTTGCTAAATGTATTGCCAATATCTTGACTGATTTGCCTGAAATAATTATAAGGTACCAATGAAATAATTATATGGTACCAATGAAAAAATTATAAGGTACTAATGAAATAATTATAAGGTACCAATGAAAAAAAAAGTCATAAAGATAACTATCAGTCAGAAAAAAAGATTTATTAAGAAATTTTCCTAACTTTTAAGATGATTTTGCAGCAAGAGACAAAAAAATAAACAGATAAATAAAAAGGAAAAGTAATTACTTTTAAAACCTAATCTTTTTTTAATAAATATCCAGTATAAATATATAAACTATTATAAAGAAGTCTAATTTATAAAATTAACAAAAAAAATATTGGTAAACAAATACATTGGGTTTCTGTTGGTGCATGAAAGTAAACTATTTAGAATTATTCTTGTTTGATCTTAAAAATATATGCCATGAATATTATATAAACATCAAATGAAAATTATATAAACATCTGCTTTCGAAAGTGCTTTCTTTTAAAGCAAATCTGAAATGTTTCATAACTTTGATGTGATGGTCTTCTGTGGTTCTGGTTGGCCACTATCTTTGATGAGATTTGCATCAATTGCATGTAAATCTAGAGTCTTGATACCCTTAGCTTTTATTCAGAAATGATTTTAAACAAACTTCGCAGCTTATAAGGCTCAAAAAGACAAAAAGTGTTTTTGTCTTTTTGACTAACTAAATTTTTAGAAACTTTTGAATTTCTTGGAAACTTTTGCATTACTTGAAAACTTTTGTATTTCTTGGAAACTTTTGCATTTCTTGAAACCTTTTGCATTTCTTGGAAACTTATAAATTACGGAAGTTGCAATCATAAATCTCATAAATAATACTTTTTTTAATAAAATAATTCAACTTTTAATTAATAAAGTAAAAAAACATCACAATTTGCATAATTTATTATTTGTAGAATTTCATTTCGCCCAGGTAGTAAATAATTTTTTAATAACCAATTAAATAAATATATAAATAATAAAAATACTAAAATTTTGAAAACTTTAATTCATAAAAAATATTAAAACATCAGAGTATTCTAGAGAAATTCTACCAAGTTTTAAGTTCAATTAAGTTTTAACATTTATTTTTATTAGTTGATTTTCTTATTAAACCAAGTGTAACTGGTGAATGATGATTTTGCCAGCATGAAATAATACTTTGTAAATGAAAGGTGAAATATTGAACCAATCATGTCTAACAATTTCTTACATGTATTATTGCAGTATTTATCAATTTTTTCTGGGTCAATTGGGCCTTTGCAATTGATTGCAATTAGAATATTATGTAACTTGATAATAATTTTCTCATGCACAACAACATACTGTTGTTGCATACATTCCTTCTTCAATATAACAACAACAAAAATCAACTTTTGCAACAACAGCACACTTTATTGCTAAAAATACCTTTCTAATATGTTCTTATCTATATTTACTATAGAATATAAAATAAATTTAAAAATTTTCAAAAAGTACCTCGACAAAAGAGTAAATTGACTTGGATTAACTACTCTACCATTTTGTCTTTGATTTAGTTTGTATCCGTTAACCTAAAAAAATTATTATATGCAAAGAAACATATATTCTGAAAAAAGAACAAACTAAAGAAAGAAAAATATTATTTTACTACAACAAAATTACTTAAAATATTTTCTACTAAAAAGATGACCCAATAAAAAACAATACTACTGTTATTATACTAAAGATCAAATGCTTTTTAGTAAGATCAAATATCAAAAAATAACTATTTTGTAAGACAGCTTTTTTTTTTATTATTATTATTAAAATTGGATTTTTCAAATATTAAAAAATAACTATTTTGTAAGATATTTTTTTTTTATTATTATTATTAAAATTGGATTTTTCAAATATCAAAAAATAACTATTTTGTAAGACAGCTTTTTTTTTTATTATTATTATTAAAATTGGATTTTTCAAATATCAAAAAATAACTATTTTGTAAGATAGCTTTTTTTTATTATTAAAATTTAATTATTCAAATACCAAAAAGTAACTATTTTGTGAGAGTTTTTTTTTTAACAAAATTTTAGTATGAAGTACATTATGAAGACAGAATATAGAAGATGCATCCAATATATATTTGAATGTTTCTTGTATAATAATAAGAATGCTCACATCTAGGCTGATGAAGTTATACTTCCATGTACAACCAAAGAAACTGTTAGGTCATTACTTGAGAAGAAGCAGTAAAAAAGATGTTTCTTTATCAAATACTAAAGTTAAATAAAATTATTGAAACAAAAGAATCTCTATATATTACAATTGGATGAATCCATGTTTTTACTGGCACAGTTAATTGTAATTTGTCGCTATATTCACAAAAATTATTTCAAACTTTGTTCCTTTTTTTCCAAGGTCAAATTTTGCTAATAATGTCATCTAGAAAATGGATGAATAAATTTATGAATTTCAAAATATTAACCTTTTGTGCAGTAAATTAATGTTAGCCTTAAGGTATATGTTAAGGTTTATTACATTAAGTAATGTTTATTCAAAATATTACCATTTTATGAATGAAGTACCACTGCCAAAGATCTATTTAAAATAACACTATCAAATAATTTCTGGTTAAAAATGAAAAGCTTAATTCATTCATTGTGTTCTTCAATTGTATTTAAATAAATATTACCTATTAAAATTTTTTTTTTTGATCTACTAATGTTTTAGTTGAAACAATAAGATATAAAAAAAGATAACAATGAAGAAAAATCTTTAAAAAATGGCAGATTTATTACTTGAAAGTTTCTAAAAAACCACATATTTACTAAATCCATATGATACCTTGTAAGACATCTACTAAATAATAATTATAGTATAATAATAACAAAAGTTCATTTTAAAATCATTTTAAATGGATTTAAAATGATTTTAAAATGAACTTTTGTTTGTTTTTCTTTCTTTTATTAATTTTACAGATTTACTGTGACAGATTAATAAATTATTTTTGACTTTCCAGTTAGCTATATTAAGATTTGAACTTTCCATATCAAGATAATAAGATAAATAAGATAGGGTCTACCATATCAAGATAGGGTCTACCATAGAAAATTAATTATTTTTGAGACATTGACTATGCAAAAAAATGTAATTAAAGACCTGAAATTTAGGAAACAACATTTATTACTCTACAAGAAAACCATAGCAATTTACTGTGTTGCTTCTCATAGGACTATGAATAACAATAAAAGATGAAGATGTTTTTGCTACCCATTTCATCCTATCACAAGAGTAAAGTGGGTGTTTTTTTATTGACACAATTTTATTAATATCCAGCATCTAAAAGAACAGAAAACAACAAAAAGGAAAGGGCTTTATTTGTTAACTTGTTTATGTTCAGATTTTATTATGAATGACTTTTATAATAGCAATTTTTAACAACATCAAAGCTACATAGCAAATATACGACACATGTTGTGTCGTATATTTGCCAACTGCGATCGATGTTGCAAATTTTCCATTTGCAACATTGATCACAACAAACTAAGGTCTATACTTTTTTACTTCCTCTTTTCACAGATCACACAACATTGAGTTTTTATCTTAACAAGACATAAATATGGTAGTATCATCAACGAATAATAAACAAACAAAAAAAACACCTTAGATGAGAGAGTTTCTGGGAGATTGTCAAAATAAATTAAAAAAAGGATAGGGCCAAGGATAGAACATTGAGGAACCCCTGAAGTTACAAGAAATGAAGAAGAGTGCTGTCCACTGAGAACAACATTTATGATAAGATTGGTAAGGAAGGATTCAATAATCTTAAAGATGTTACCTGATACACTGTAAGAAGAGAACTTATGTAGAAGACCAGTATGCCAAGCTTTATTAAAGGCTTTAGAAATAACAAGTGTGATAGCCCTAACCTCTATATATCTATTTAATGCATGCACCTATCAGTTATTACAGTCAACAAATCAGCAATAGAACAAGAAGATTGAAAGCTTATTGATGATCAGAAAGTAAGTTAATAGATTCAGGATTCAAGATTAATTGTTTGTTAGTTAAAGAATCAAAAACCTTGCTTATGATAGGGAGAGGACTAATGGAATGGTAGTTAGACGAGTCAGATCGCTCTCCATAATTTTTGAAAATTTGGATAACAGATGCTGCTTTCCAGCAGGTCGGAAAACAAGACTCTGATACGCACTTGCTAAATAGTTTTGAAAGTATAGAAGATAGCTCCTTAGAACACTTCTGCAAGACTATAACATGTATGTTCTCGAGACCACAAGCTGTATTAAAGTCTAAGCAGAAAATCACTTTAGATACAAAAGCTTGAGTGACAAGAATGCCAAGCAAAGGATCAACCTGTTTGTCAACTATAATATGTAAAATGTGATTAGTGGAAAAAGAGATGAGATTGATAAAAAGTTCTTAGCCAACAATTCAGCTTTGTCTTTAGGTGAGGTAACAAAATCTGAACCATGCAAGAGAGGCAGAATAACAGATTTGCCCTCATTATAGACACAGTTAAAGATTCTCCATAAGTCACTAGAGCCTAATTGTTGGAATTAATTACAAGATTTATTGATCTGAGAATAGCGGGCTTTGGCATTAGACAAAACCTTTTTACAATGGTTTCTAGCAATAGTAAACAGACATTCGTTTTCTAGAGAATTGTTTTGCCGATAGATATGGAAGCAATGGTCACGATTGGAAATTGTAGCAACACAACAAGAGGAAAACCACAGAGAAGAGTAGGACTTGACTTAGAATCATCGACAGGGAAAAAAAGATTCTATGCCAGCCTGAATCCAATAAGTTACCTAAGAAGCACATTTGTCAGCATGAAGATAAAAAATTTCTATTCAATGGCCATCAAAAAGAAAATTACAGAGAGAGTCCCAGTCAGCTTTAAGGTAGTTAAAGGTACAATGAACCCCCTATTCTGATGATAAAGAAGAATGAGAAAACATTTTTAGTGAAATCGAACTGTGATCAGAAGCACCTAAGGGTAAATATAGTGAAACCGAGCACTGACTTGGATCAGAATCAAGACATAAGTCGATCAGAGAAAAAGTTGTGGGCCTGCAGAGTCAATGACACTAGAACCAAACCATTCAGTGTGATGAGCATTAAAGTAACCAAAAAATAATATTGGCTAAAGGATAAAAAGAAAGAGCCTGGTCAATTTGATCAGAAATAATATCAAAAAAAGTGTAGTCTTGAGATGAAGAGAGTGATATAGAACATAGAGAAAGGTGATAAAGTGAAGCGATGCTAAACAAAAGCACATAAAGGAATAGTCTGTGGATTCAAACCTAGTTTTCTGTCAATTGTCTTTAAGAACTAAAGTAAGATAACCATCAACACTAAGATAGCAAGATAAGACAGCTCAAATTAGCCTCACAAAGAACAAGTAGGTCTGAAGAACTTTGCAAGAGATAAGACTTAACAGAAATGTTACTTCAAAGACCAGGAATATTAGTGAATGATAGATTTAGAGAACTTGGTGATGACAAAGTTTTTTTGTGTTTTATAGTTTTTGATACTTTAGTCATTTTTTAAATTGGTTAAAGAACTTGACTCAAAGCACAGGTGGTGCTTAGTGCACCATTTAATAGCCCAAGTAATAGCCCTAATATACCCTAAGCAGCGACGAATGGGTCCAAATGTGGCTTTGACAATGCACACCAAAAGTATGAACATCCATGTGTAACACAGCACTGTTATTACTCTAATATTTTACAGCTGTTAATGAAATCAGTTTCCTTGAGAGCTACCAATGATTTAGGGAAACCTGACTACCAGCCGGCTTCAGAACCATAACAATTTTTACTTCTTTTACTTTTACTTCTTGCAAACAAGCAAGATTGTTTGCAAGAAGTAAAAGTAAAAGAAGTAAAAATTGCCTCATTTTATTTTCATATAAAATTTTCAAGAGAAAATAAAATATTTGCTCTGTCTTTTTTTAAGATTTCTGGCTTTCTTGTGGTCAGCCTATGCTTCCATTTCCTGCTAAGTAAAATAAGCTAATGTTTGGTAGAATTTTTTTTTCTTAAATAGTGTTTTCTTCCCAAATTAATTTTTTTTCAAATTCAAAAGGCAAAATTTCTGACTTAGCTGATTGAAATTCTTGTAATGGTTTTATTTTTGCACATTTAAAATGTTTAAGTAATTAAATCTTTATTTTGTAATCTTAACATTTAAAACAATGAGACCAAACAAAGATCAAGTACTAAAATATATTAATTACTAATAATTGAGTTTCTATGTGTTTTGCTAGCAAGAATTGCGCTTTGTGTCAAAAAGATGCTATACAGAAATGTTAAAAACAAGTTTTGTTCTCAAGATAATATTGATGAAGATGGTTCTTCATAGATTACATAAAATAGTTCTGTATAGATTACAAACTTAAAAATGAATCAGAGCTTGTCTGTCTTGTCTTGTCATCTCTGTCTAAATCCGAGCTAAAACCACAAATTGCTCTACTCATACTCTGATAAATAAGTTACAAAAACATTTTTAAATTGCAAAAAGTCAAGCTGCTTCTTTAGTAAAATGAGATAAGTAGTCTTTCTAAATTCAATTGCTAACCTTCATAGAACAATAACTATATACTTACAACTTTCCAATCATTAAAAAATTAAAAAAAAAAATTATAATTGATAATTGAACTTTTCTTTCTTAAAGGATGTTTAGTAATTTTTATATTTAAATGGAGATTTCAATAAAAACTTTGAACAGAAAAAATTTTGGAAAAATTTCACCTTTTTAATATAATAAAAATAGTTAGATGTTCATTTAAAGAAAATCATACGAACCTGCCGTGACTGCAATGATTTCACAGCTGATAAAAACTCCACAGTTCTATCTCTACATGACATGTCAACTGAATCAATGTTGGATACACTGTAACTTTCAACTGTATCCTTGTAGTCTCGAGATGAATAATTTGGTGTATATAAATATTTTTCTTCTTTACTAACAGATTTTGTACGACGCCTGACAGTGCTCATTGGTTTACTCTATATTTTTTCTATTTTAGTCCTGTTGATGAAGTGTATAATTTGCTATTCATAGTGCCTAAAATATGTGTGTATTTATATATATATATATATATATATATATATATATATATATATATATATATATATATATATATATATATATATATATATATATATATATATATATATATATATATATATATATATATATGTATATATATATATATATGTGTGTGTGTGTGTGTGTGTGTGTGTGTGTGTGTGTGTGTGTGTGTGTGTGTGTGTGTGTGTGTGTGTACATGTGTATGTGAATATTTATACATGGGATACACTGTTTAACCGTTTAACCAACCCATTTAGAATAAAGAATCGTAAAGACTTAAGTTATATACTTAATTATAATTATTTTAATGCCATAAAATAATTAAAGTTAGATATATAATTTAAATTACGTATATGTTAACATGCTACGTAAGGCTCTATGAATTTTGTTATTGAAAAATATGAATTACTCATAATAATATTCAAATATTTGGAAATAAAAAAATGAAAACTCAATATTAAGCCAGAATTAAAAAACTTAGTAGATATACATAGGTGCAGTATAAAATTTTCATAACAATAAAGCAATGAAGTTTTTAAATTGCCTATAAATTTAGTTAATCAAATTTGCTGTACCAAATTTTCTTCCGTAAAATGACGTTGTTTTGATTGCGTGTAAACAATCACCAAAGTTTATTTATTTTGAAGGGAATCTGTGACCGGAACATTTCATAAGATAACGAAAACTTGCTTAGTAACGTGCCAGTTTGTTTCAGCAAAGGCTAATCCAAAAGATTAATACAAAGAAATTATAACTTTAAATATTTTAGTTTTTTTTTCATTTAATTTTAATTTTAATTTTTATTTTTGAGGTTTTTCTTATCTATAATTAAATATTTTTAGTCATATGAATTTGCCAAGTATGAATAATCTTTAATTTACTTGTTTTATTGCCATAATTGTATAATACTTTTTTATTTTGTATAATAATTTTTCATGAATAAAATTTAGACAATTACATTTTCAAAAACGCAAATACAGACTGATTTTTAAATTTGGATGCGTGTAAACCTGATTAGGCATAAAGCTGTTCTGAAAGCTTAACCTTCAAATGCGCAAATTGTGCACACATAAGTGGACACAACATACTGGTATAAACGCAAAGAAAAATCGGTTAAACACAAGCTGGTGCAAATATAAGTTTACCAAATAGATATATGCATGTGTATGTATGTATGTATGTATGTATGTATGTATGTATGTATGTATGTATGTATGTATGTATGTATGTATGTATGTATGTATGTATGTATGTATGTATGTATGTATGTATGTATGTATGTATGTATGTATGTATGTATGTATGTATGTATGTATACATGTATGTATGCATGTATGTATGTATGCAGGCACGCCGGAAAGGGGTAGCCTAAGGTAGCAACTGCTATTCCTGCCCTTTTGGTTGGGGTGACAAGCAAGTAGTATGAACGTGTCCTTTCTAGGAAATAAATATGGTAAATTTTTGTTCTTTAAAAGCATTTTATTATCCAACATTTCATTATCAATATTTTATTATCAATATCTACCAACTGGAACTGGTAATAGGTGGGATCAGGGCCGGATTTAGACTTTTAGGGGCCCTTGGCCAAAACATTTTTGAGGCCCCTAAAATAATTTAATTTTGGGAAAAAAAAAATTTCATTTTTTTATTTAAAATTTTATTATTTAAACAAAACAGTGTGAATATTGAGAATTTAATGAAAAATAAATTTTTCAACATTTTTAATTTTTCTACACATTATTTTCAGTTTTTAACTTTTTGTGTTTATTAAATTTTGGGGCCCCCAAATGTTGGGGGCCCTAGGCCGTGGCCTAGTCGGCCTATAGGTAAATCCGGCCCTGGGTGGGATGGTGGTAATAGATTAATTTTTTTTAAATTTTTTAAAGAGAAAACAGTTTAAAATTGATTTAAACGAAACTTTTAAAAAAAATATTGAAAAGAAAAAAAAGGCCCAGAATCAATAAGCAGCAGTGGTGGAACTCAGAAACAACTCAGATAAATAAACCGACGTTAAAGAATTTTTTGTAAATCGCAACTACGTTTAGAACTAATGTTTCCAAAAATCAATTTGAAATTAAATCAAACTTGTTTTATTAAATTTTATTCTTCTTGCTATCAACATACTTAACAATTTTTTGTTTTTATGCTTTAAATCTTTATATATATTCCAAATGTTTTTTAGTAGATGTTTTGCAAAAATGCAATAGTTTTTTTAATTCTATTTTTATTTTCGAGAAAAAAAAGGAACACGTTGTAAAGACAATATACAGTTATAAAACAAATATAGCAATAATTTGTTCAGTTAGTATTTTTATTTTCTATGATTATTTTCGATTGGTAATTATTTTCGACGATTATTTGCGTATAATTTATATCTCTCAGTACTTTATTTCTTAATCGTAATCTTAACTTAAATGTATCGGTTTTAACCACTGATCAGTCATGCCGAAGGCCGAAAGACTTCAAAAGAAAAAAACTAAGGAATTATCAAAAGCAGCAGCATCACCTTACCAGATCAAAATTATAACTTTGTTGAAAAAATCACTGAAAGCTGTCTTTTTTGAAACCTGTACAAAATATGATTCATGTTCTAGTGGAGTGTTCAAGCATGGAATCGGAAAAGGATTTAGAACATGGAGCAAATCTGCTGCAGCACTAAAAAATCTCGAGGACTCCAGTGTTCATAAGCCTGCAAGTGCTCTAAAGATAAAGAAAGAAAATATAATGTTTACAACAATTAATGTTTATATTGACCAAATGTACATGGAGAAGCAAGCATTTCAAAGAAAAGGCTTGCTTATTTCGGAGCATTGAAAACATTGCTTCGACAGGGTGTAGCTGTAAGAGGTAATAATGATGAAGAATCCAATATTTACCAGTTTAAAAGGCATTAAAGATGTTGATGAATGAAAACCATTATGTTTTATCTCATGACATCTTGCAAGAACAACTTCTTACCTTAGAAGCACGAAGGCAGTTTGTTGAACTGATCAAAGATAAACATTTCTATTCAGTACTTGCAGATGAATCCTCAGATATTACTAAGAAGGAACAAATATCACTTAATATAAGAACTTGCAGTGACAACTATAAAGTGAATGAAGATTTTATCGGAGAATATAAATGCGTCAACGGTCTTTCTTCAGATGCCTTGGTGACATATATTGAAAATATTCTTTTGAGGTGCAACTTGGAATATACAAAAGCTGCCGGAATTGGCTTTGAGGGTGCATCAGTTATGAAATGCTTGGCAGCAAAACTGAAAAATATTTTTTGACAGCAAGCAAAATATTTTCATTGCATGGCTCATTGCAGCTAGCTGATTGTTAAGGATACATATGCAATATCATCACTACAGTCAAATTCTCTAAGCAATGTTTAGTCAATTCATGCAATTGTTAGGGCATATCCAAAGCGTGTTGCTTTTTTCGAACAAAGCCAAAAGAATATATTGTCTGAATCAGGTGAAGACAAAATATTGTGAATGAAGTTTATGTCAATGACTCGATGGACAGCACGAACAAAAGCAGAAGATTGCAGAACTCCGTACAATATTGAACAGTTTTTAGAGTGACCAGACTATTGCTGCAGAAACAAAAACACAAATTAAAGGTTTGTTATCTCAGCTTTTATCATTAAAAACACTTTTTGAACTGCCAAGCACTTTTGAATTTTTTGCTATTATAGAAAATCTATCGAAGCAATTACAAGAAATTAATCTGACAGGTAATGTCGCAGTATTCTGCTTTCAAAATGCAAAGATTTGCTGAACTTAGATAATAAAGGCGACAAAAAAATACCTGGAATCAAGCAAGACAATAAGTCTGAAACCGAAGTTAAGCAGAGACAAAGAGTGGTACCTAAAAAATTACGCAATTCAGTAATTACTGAGAAGCTTACATTCGGCGGTGCAATGAATGGCCTTGTCAAATCAGAAACCAACAAAAACCAAGGAAATCTTACTTTAAAGCAATTGATGCTATTCAGAACAGTTTGAGTGAGAGATTTGAACAGGATGGATTAACAGCTGTAAAAAATATAGAAGTTTTGATTTCATCGGTGAATAAAAAAGATTCCCCACCGTTTTTATTTGGAATGCTTTTTTTTAATGATGTTGACATTTTGAAACTAAAAGTTGACTTGAAGGGGCAACCAATAATTATTAATCTGTACAATGCTATTGCGTCAATCAAAATACAGAGTGTTTCAAAGCCATGTTAGCTGGAAAAGTCGCCAATAAACAAACACACAAATTAATGAAGCTTTACTACACCATGCCTCTTTCGACATCATCATGTAAAAGAAGCTTTAATGTAATGAGGAGAGTAAAAATATGGGTTAGGTCACAAACTGGAGGCAATCACCTGAACAACATCATATTTACACAGATACACAAAAAACAAATCGAAAAAATTAACATTAAAAAAATTACCAAACAGTTCGTTGAAATGAATGACAGTAGAATGAATTATTTTGGCAAATACACTTGAAATCGTTCTAGCACCTTGTAAAGCTAAGAATGGCATAGGATGAAATGTACTATTGATATCTAGAAAGTAGCTAAGAAACAGTTGATTTAATTTGTAGATTGTTTAATAGCATGTTACAACATGCTATTAAACATATATTACAACATATATTAAACTAATATAATACAACATGTTATTAAATTAAAATAATAGCATGTTACAACATGCTATTATTTAGTGTTAATTGCACTGTTCATGCGATTCGTAATAGTAAAAGTAGTAAACAAAGTGACATTTTCTGTGATTTTTTTAGAGAACGGTAGGGTTAATTAAAATGTTTGTTTATATTAAATATTATAGGGGAGAGTGGGGTAATGGCGAACGCGGGGTAACTCTGAACGTGGTCAAAACAGCATGGTAGAAAAATAATGTGTTTTGGTTTGCCACCCCTGCCTTTAGGCCCTTCCGGCGTTCATGTATGTATGTATGTATGTATGTATGTAT